AACGAACCGAAGAACTTGCTGTGAACATGGTGAACATGCCAATTTCATCCTTGTTCCGCACAGGGGAAGGGAACAAATTTTTGGAAAAACACCCAAGCAACACATCAACACTCGGCGTCGGTCCCTCGACTCCCTCCACTCCATCCGCTCCCAACACGCTGCCCCAACCCCTCCAACCAGGAGATGGGCGTTGCTCATCTAGTGAGGTTTTCATTGTCATGGTGAACATGCCAATTTCATCCATGTTCCGCAGAAGGAAACAACCTTTGGAGAAACGCTCAGCCCTTCGACTCCCTCGTCGAGAACCCACCCAAACAATCTAACAAAGGTAACTTAACTAGGACTAGGATTGGTTGCCTTTGATTTGGCTCTGTTAACCTTCCAGCTCAAACTCGGGATATCGCCTGACAAACAGGGCATGTTCTAGTAACTCTCATTTAAGTCTAAGGGTTGGCCATTTCAATTTGAATAGTTTCTTCATGGCCTTCAAAGATGATGTTTCATAATTGATTTATACAAAAAAAAGTGTTCCTGCTATTTCCTGCTCCCACGAAGACTGGGAGCCCAAGCGCAGTAGACAATGGCCAGGACAACCAACGAGATGATGTCAATGTGCATCAGGTAGCCGCCCGCCAATTGGGCGTCAAACTAGATACCCGGCGAATTGACACTTCCCAACTCTGACCCTACCCAGTCCTCTTGGAAATCAACTGCTGCCACCTTGATGGCCTGCATTTCCAAACGAACAGCCGCGCAATAAGATTCCAAATGATCGTTTGCATCTGCTGGTGCCCAGTCAGGGGGCAACTTGGAGAGGTCGAAGTCCTTCAACGGCAGCCTGGAACTTGCTTAACAACACATGCTTTGCTTGACAACCCCAGACTGCGCGGATGGGCAAAACATGCCAAGAATGACAAAGATTAAGTTTCTGGGCCGAGATGCGATCGAATGATTTGTTGGCCTTTCATTCTCCAGATCCGTTCATGCCACAAATTCAGCAGCTGCTGCTGTAGCGAAATCCCATGAGCCAATCCCTTCACCTTGCCACCTGCAGCAGTCATGTAGTGGTACAGGGTGAGGGCACCGTCGGTAGGATCAAAGCTCATCAACTTGAAAAGCGCCACCGAGTTTGCTGGATCCTGGCGCATCAATGCATTGCTCCACGTGGAGACAAAAGATGAGGGCTGAGCAGTTCTCCACAAATGATTTCCGAGCGCCCAGGCATGTCATCTCTCTATTTGGTGTGAATGATCCGCCATGTCTTTAACTAATGGGTAAGTTATTTCCAGACAGAATTTCATAGCGGGATGCATACTGCTTGGACCTATTACAGAGACAGGCGCAACGAAATTTGGAGATATAATTTCATGTGATTTCAATGCAAACAGTTGTCCTCCGCGTTCTTGAGCAGAGAATTTCCCAACCAGATGACGATCTTGGCAAACAGCGCAGGAGAAAGACTGCAAAACACGTCCAGATCCTCGCTCTCCATGTTTCCAAGGATGTTGGCCGGGTCCTTTTTCATCTTCTGAAAAAGTTCGTACTTTGCATTGACCTTTTCAGAAAAATCCAGCATGAGCTCCACCAGAAAATCCACCTCTGGTTCATCCGTGTCAATTCCTCGAATCTTGTGGGCATTCTGCTCCATTTGAGTAGACAAAGACTGGAAGGCTCGGCTCTTCATTTTTCCCTCCCAGAGGTTCTCATCAGAGAAAGCCTTCTTCTTGGCATCAATAAATTCACGGGCTTTCTTCAACTTCTCCATAGACTTCTTGTCTCGCGGTTTCGCCTCAGGCTCTTGTGGCTCAGGCTCTAGTGGTTCTGGTGTTCGAATGCCGAGAGCACTACTAGCCGGCGTTGAGGGAAGACTTGATGGAGCACTGCCTGGTTTTGAAACTTTCCGCAGCTTGCCCTCACCCCCCGCAGAGGCTTGGGGCATGGGTGGTACGGGCATGGGCCGTTTGGCCCGCGTCTTGGCAGAAGCAAGACTCAGCATTGAAGGGAGGAAGGTATGAAAGCCCATATCCTCATCTTCAGACGGGTTTGTGTCAGCGCCAAGTGCAGTGTCAAGCGATCCAGCCTTCTCCATTTTGGACCGCACCTCCTGCGCTTTCTGCTCAACCTCCCTTGCAGTGTGGGTGCGCTTTCTCAACTCGTCCATCCCAGCCGACATCTCTGCATAGGTGGCTGAAGCAGCAGCCCCGGTGTCATGATGCTCTGCCTGCAGAAAAAAAAGGAGAATTGTGAATGACTTGTGTATAGAACCGTATATATAGCAGACGCATCATTGATTCCGATTCCTCGGCAACGTGTGATATATTTTATATAACGGTATATTTATAACATAAATATGGTCAAATAGAATGTATATATATATACATTGTTTTCCTGAGCTCTGAAGAACAAAGGATTGCCTACACCTTCTACCATTGCCCCGCCTTCTTCTTCGACACACTGCTGCGATTGCCCAAACGCACCTTCCGAGTCCCATCCATTATCGCAACCACAAGTTTCCCGTTATCCTCCAGGACGCTCATCTGAAAATCCTGGATGAAAGCGTTGCACAGGCAATCTGCTTAGCTGATCCTATTGTTTGTCGTTTCTCGCAGGTGTGAGTTGAAAGAAAGTTGACTAGAAGCTAGAAGTTAGAAGAAGCTAGAACTCCATTGACTCCATTGTTTCTAGTTCCCCAAGTTCTCCTCCTCAACAATTTTACGCTGGCGCTGCTCCGACATATTCGCGCAATCTATGTCATGGTCTTGTAGGAAATTGCTCAGGGGTTGAACAGTTCCCTCTTCCCAGAACTCGGCAAATTTGCTCTCTTTCTTGTAGCTCTCCAAGTCAACGTTTTCATGTTTTCTCTTGCGGCCTGCTTGGGGCATACAATTCTCAGTACGTTTCTCCTGCCACTTGTCGGTAAGTTCCTGGAGCAATCAGTTTGCAGTCTGCTTAAAGTGTCATTCAGAGCGAACCCTGAAAAATGCAAAGACTGGTAGAGTATCGGTATGAGTATGAGTGTCAGGCCTCATTGTTCTTCATAGCGGCTTCAAGTCCTTGCTGGCTGATGCCACCAAAATTGTTCCTCCTGGTTCCCTGAGTTGCGGATTGTGTTGGACTAAATGTGAATCCTCACAAACCACGGTTTTCTTGAACAGCCCCGAGTCAACTTGAGCCAAAGTTAGACTAAAGCCAAGGTTCCCCGCAATTACCGCACTCACAACCCTCCTCAATTGTGCGATTCCCATCCTGCACATGGGTCAGGAATCACAGGTTCAGTTCAAGGAACAGCAGTGGTGACAAATTGCATGAACAGCACAGCCCTGTACCCAGCCCTGCCTGATCCTTTCTCTTCTTCGGCCAATACAAAATTTCTTGTCTCTCTCCTGTGAATCGATCCACAGAGCGGGCCTCTTGTCCACAGGTAGTGCACACAGGGAGCGAGAATTCCATGACGCACACGGGTGCCAAAGCTGTCTCAATGCAATGCCAACACTAGTTCTTGAAGGTTAGTTGCTGCAAGGCAGAAGCAAGTCAGGCAACCAAGCATTGTTCGAACCTGTCGGAACCTGTCGGAACCTGTCGGAACCCGTCGGACCCCGTCGGAACCCGTCGGAACCTGTCGGAAGTAGAACTCTTAAGCTTAAGGGACCCCCTAAACATGTTCTCCACAAGGTCCCGTTCCTCTAAGAGTTCCAGCTCCGACGGGTTCCGACAGGTTCCGACGGGTTCCGACAGGTTCGCCTAACGCACGCTGCAGCTGAAGCACAAGGTCCTCTTCCTCTGGAGTCCAATCATGCTTGCAGCATTTGACGTAGTCCACAGCGTCCCAGACAGAGGTTGCTGGCATGGACGCAGCGAAAGTTTGCAGCAAAGCACCAATGTGGTCCTTGGAGGCACGGACTGCAACGGCCTGGCATCACATCGGATGTGAGAATGACCACAAATCCAAAGTACTCAGCATTCTGGCTAGGTATCCAAGGTGTTTTGGTCTCCAACACTGTGGTGCACCATGATGAAATAGATGCGTGATCTAGTTTGGCCAGCGCCAAAATCTTTGCTCCTTGGCCCACTATGATGAGGCCAGTCACTCAAAAGTTGGGCATAGTGACTAGAAGATCAAAAGTTTCAGAAGGTAAAACATGGAATTATCCATTTGAGTCACTTCAACCGGAACATATCCATGGCATAGCCTGGTATAAGTTGGAGCCCTATGGGCTCATCGTGATCTGTACCTGCTTCCCTCACACTCCCACGTAGTACAAAGTCAATCGGCGCCTGCAGAAGCAAGTCCGACGAGAACCTTTGGAAACATTGCATGGAAGGTTGAATCTTGTGATTTGTCCATATTTGTCCTCGCGACCAAAAAGAAGCAAAAACAGCCATAGTAGCGCCAAGAGAGTTCAATGACAATGAAGTGATCCTTTAGTCTGCTCATCAAATCGTGTGGCGCGCAGAACACACACTGCAATCCCCTGATCCTGTTCACGGACGTCCTGCCAGCAGCCTGAAACAATATCTTCATATAATTGCAAGAGAATCTGGGTGTATATCATATCTGTTTGTTTTCTGCAAACTAGACGGCTTTGCAGGTCCTCCCACCGAATTTGCACATGCTCTGTGAAAGCAATCAGGCAGCTAGATATAGCTTGAGCTACCCAGTTCTGCCAAACCACTAACCACTTAACGTTGCAAGTGCTTGTCGACTCACAGCCACTAAGCTACTGTCAGACGAAGCACTGATGAATTCTCGCAAGAATTGTGCTGAATTCTGGCAAACAACTTCGTCCAATTGTGCCAGGCATTCTGTGTGTATAGAGCGTGGGGGCTTCCGCAAATGGACAACTAACGAGAACCGTGGACTCCCCTTGTCAATCGTGCCACTACAGTGGAAACACTTCACGTTTTTTCTCTTCACATGATCAACTCCATTGATCCCAAGGCAAGAATGTTGGATGCGGCCGACCCTTGCAGGTCCATCTCCATCTAGGGCTCCAGCGGGTGTGGGATTAGTTTTTGGAGCCACTGGTTCATCAGCATCAAGAGTGGGCGGCTCTGCGTCAGCACGAACTGCTTCAGTCCACTCCTGCTTGGACTCGTCATCCAGCTCAACTGGGAAAGCGTCCATTTGCTCACCACGCTCACCATTTGCTGCCTCCGCGCATTCAGTCCTGATTCGGCGTGATGCATGAGCACACAACATGAGCACGCAGCGTGAACACACACACACACACACACACCCTCCACCCAGGAGTTCCTATTTTTGTTCAGGAAATTCGACACACTGAGCGCAGGAGACGAAGAAAAAAGAATCGAGAAAGACTTTGTCGGTTCTTGATTGGGGAAATATGATGAAATACAGGACGCAAAACCACAACACAAACACGCAGTTTAGTTACGGCTCCAGGCTCCCTCGCTCCAAGCTCCTAGTCCTCCACCTCCAAACCCGCGGACTCCACCTCCAAGCTCCAACCCCGCTAAAACGCTTCAGCTCCCAAACTGCTTTGGCCAAGCTCCTCTCCTCTCCTCTCCTCTCCTCTCCTCTCCTCACATCTCTCATCTTTTCCGGATCACGACAAAAGCGCTGACATGAGTGGAGCTATTTTTGGATTGTCCGGCGATCGAGCTGTCAAAGCAGTTCTGCGTGGCCAAGAGTCAGTCAGTCAGTCAGTCAGTCAGTCAGTCCGTGCGTCCGTCCGTCCGTCCGTTAGTCAGTCAGTCAGTGAACCTGTGGTGTGGAACTCACCAGAAAACTCTTGAAACATCACGGGAAGACAGGAACTGAAGGAATATGACCAGGAAAATACAAAAAAATAAAAATTAACTAGCTACTTTTTCTACACTTTTTTTCCCTCTCCCCCTGTCTCTGTGTCTATTTCCTTAACGGGGGGAGAGCGGAGCGGTGTGCAGCAGCGGTCCGAACAGGTCCTGGTGACCACGGAGCAGCTCATTTGGGGAAATGGCCTACCCAAACACCGGCCTTTCGGAACGGGCCTTAGAGACGGTCCATGGGAGCCCACACCGTAAGCGAAGTCCCACCGGGGGTAGGCCGCCGTAAAGGGAATACCGACGGATGATCCGACGGCCCTTTTTTTCTTGCAGATGTGATGTTAGGTCCTGCGAGGGGGGGGGGTCCGGCCGCACACCGCTCTCCCCCCGTTAAGGAAATAGAGACAGAGACAGGGGAGACCGGTGTTGGGTCCTCTCCTGGGAGACCGGTGAGGTCTGCCATGGGCATCTCTACGCGGGGGGGTACCGAGACACCGGTTTTACCGAAGGGTCCGGCCACACGGAGGGGCCCGAAACTTCGGACCGCTGCCGCACACCGCTCTCCCCCAAAAGCAGCCCTAAATCCGGGCCTTACCGGTAAGGCCCGGATTTCCACCTCCAGGGGCACCGGCAGAACAGGTACTTAATTTTTACTTATTTTCCTGGTCATATTCCTTCAGTTCCTGTCTTCCCTTGATGTTTCAAGAGTTTTGAGGCCATTGCTTAAAATTTAGGATTTTTAAACAAAAATGTGAAAACTCATTATTTTTTGGATAGTTTGCCGGTCAAATTCCTTCACCTACCTTTCCTTGAAGTTTAGATTTTTCTTAAAGGCATTTGTGAAACAGACGCCAAACATCAAGGAAAGACAAGAAATGAAGGAATATTCCTTGAATAATGCTTAAAGGTTGAACTCAGCCTTTTATTATAAAATCCTTTCGGACTGAGGTGACTTCCTTATTTTTTGTGTTGAGATGTGTTGAGGTTGGACATCATTTTTGAAGCAAGATTTCGGGTTTATAAAGTCCTGGGCCGACCATGTATTAAAACCCTTCTCCCAAGGTCGCTCGGCCTTCTCAAAGTATCGTTTCAAGTCTTATTTAAATCCTGGCATTGACTCTGTGGAGGCGGCAAAGAAAAACAGAATCCGGCGAAGTGCCCGTTAAGATTGCCAATTTCCAACTTCTGGGTTCGCGCGCGCGCGCGCCTTTTGAGATGTTTTTTGGGTGTGCTTGGCGCGCGCGAACCCAGGAGTGGAAAACTGGCTGTTAAGACATGTGTTTATAGAATCCTGTCTCTAACCTACCACGACCTACCATATGTCCCTTAAGTTCAGTAGTACCATGACTTATATAACATGCTTTTCTGAAGTTCTGGACCAACGACCAATTTTCAAAGGCTTATCTTTTTTTGGCGATTTCTGAAGTCCTGGACGTACTTGGTTTTCATGAAAAAACACTTCTATAAATCCCGGGGTTGGGGTCAAGGATTTTATTATCCATTGTTCGAGGGACATGAAGGAATTTGACCAACCAAACATTTTGAATTGCCAATTAACTGGCTCGTTTTTTACGCGTTTTTTCTCCTGTGTCTCTGTGTCATTTCCCTGACCGGGGAGAGCTGCTGGACACTGCTCCAAACATCGGACTAGCTGAGACAGGTGGAACTTTCGACACTTTTGAGTTTCCTCCCTGCGGCTTTGAGGGGTGAAGAACTTTTTTACGCTTCACGCAGCCGTTGGACGAGCCAGTAGCCTACCCCATGAAGGAAAAGAAATTAAAATGTGTACACAAAATAACAAACATTTTTGATTGTTAGATAGTTTGCTGGTTCAAATTTCCTGTCTTTCCTTGAAGGTTAAAGAGTTTTCAGGCCATTTGTTTATCTTTAGATTTTTCCTAAAGACACACACTATTCAAGTTTTGCCTAGGTTACCTTTTTAGGTTTGCAAAAAAAGAAAATGAGACAATTGGAGGCAAAATATTGTTCAAAAGAAGGCTGCGCGTCTCACCCTCATACCCCTGAGGCCCAAAGGTATGACAAAAGGGGATTGTGGAAAGAATGCTGATGATCTGCATGTTATCGAATAATCTATATGTCAATATGTCGCTGACGTGTGACGGGGAGATTTAATGTTTTTCTTCGTTTTCATACCTTGATTGATTTCGACTGTGGTAGACACATTCCGACCTGCCAACGACAGCTCTAACGTTCACCAACCACCACTACCGTGTTTCAGCAGTGGAAGCTGTGGAGGCCCGTTTCTTCTCACGTCCCAACTTCTCACCAATTTTGACCACAGCCTTTCAACATTATTGCATAGTCCATGGCGATTTCATAGTTATTTCATGTCATATGTCCTTTCTATATCGCCGGGGTTGCCCTGTCCTGCCGCGTCCAGGGCATATCCCAAACAAAAAAATCTTCAATCCAGGACCATGCTTCGACCCTTTCTCTGCTTGAGGATTGGCCCACCCTGAGAGCATAGCAAAAAAGTCGCCTGCGCCCAGGCTTGAATCTCCAACAGACGTGGCGCTTCCCTGTCTCGGTTGGTCAGCAACAGAAGCGGAAGCTCCAGTTTCACCAGGATCAGAACCATGAAGTTGTGCTCCAAAACAAGTTGTGGCCGGAGTAGTCTTCTGCCTCTTCGAACAAGAAGCTGAAGCTGGCTTTGGAGCTGGCTTCAACAAGCCACTGAGGCCAAATGGCAATGTAGATGCCCTGGGAGCAGGCCCTTCAGCAGGCCGCTTGCTCTTCTCCCCAAACGACTGGCCCACTGTAAAATCTAGCGCTGGAGGGGAACTGGGCGACAAAGCGAACACATCTGTCGGGCCCGTGGATTCAATGAAGGTGACATCTTTGTAGACCCTCACCTTGGACCAGGGCAAGGTAGACTTGTAAGAACGAAAGTCGACGTCTATCCTTCAGATTCAGTAAGTGAGAACTCTGGCAATTAGTTTATGTTTATGCGCTGGCTAAAAAGATGTGGCCCAAGTGTGTCAAAAGAAATGAAATGCCCAAAGACTGTCAATCTAAAACTGACAGGTCAACAATATCAGAAAAGGTGTCAGGTGGTCGGGGTACCGCGTTCCAGTTCCAGGTTCACTGTGCAGCTGCTGTCAGTAACTAGTTTGTTAGTAATGTAACTACACTCGGCTGCTGTTGGGGTAGACAGAACGTATGCATGCACCAGGTTGCCTGCAAGCTGAAGGTCTGCAATTCAAAACCATGATGGCAGTGCTCTGCCACCAAGCTTTTGCAGCATTGATGTAATGTCATCAAGCAGGGTGCGTTATTCTTCACCTTGAATCTGTACAGGCCCGGGCTAGTACACCACAGTGAAATGAATATGTGGCTGATAGGTTTCCTTGTCACGGCACCAAGCATGCCTGAGAAGGATTTGGGCGAAGGACACGCCTTTGCAGGCAGTTTGGATCTATCAGGCCTCAACTCAACCAGGACGGGAGATGTGTCCAGCTTGTTGGCATGTAAAACTCCATCAAACTGATGAACAATCATCTCAATGGCTTTGAAATCATCAGACTGGCAGCAAATTCCACCACGACCCCACATACATGAGCGTGAAAAGGACTGGCTTGGAAGGTTTTTCGATATCTTCTGGTCAAAGGCCAATTGGTCCTTGGTGAATTGAATCATCTCCTCACGTTGTTCACTGTACATCTTGGCAAAGTTTGCGCGCAGGGCGCAAATGTGATCTCCCAGTGCCAGACCATGCCCCCAAGCTGGATGGGAGGACAGCGATGACAAGGTTGTATCTAGCCGTGCCTGGTTCAGTCGTTTAGCTTGGCTCATCCGCAACTGTGAACCCTCCGCCTCCAACGCAACTTTCTTTTCAGTTCGTTCAGAGATCGGGCGCTGCAGCAGTTCAGCTCGGGCACTATTGACACGTGTAGCCTCCTGCTTCAATCGGTTCTTCTCCTCTTGGGTGATGGCAGCGTAATCTTGGCACATTGCCTTGTGAGAATCCACTGCAGATTCACTACCAACTTTGAAGTTCCCATGTTTAATCCTGCAGGGCTAAATTTGACGTCAACATTCCCGCACAGACGCCCGATGTAGCAGCCATTAAACATACTCACTGCACAATTTCTTTGCTTTGCACTTCTAGTCTGGAACCAGCTTTGCTACCAACACAGCAGATAAGGCACCAGTCCTCCAAGATTGCTGAAACACGTTGAAGCTTGACACCTTTCGGTGTTTGATGAAGCCTTTCCGGACCCGTCCACCCTGCACTGACCTGAGCTGCCAGCACACAGCGTGAGCCCAAACAAAAGACTTCCCTAAATCGGGGATGCGGGGCCACATGCACCTATTTCCCATTTCAGCCTATTTCCATTCTCCAAGCAGCGCCGACACTACGAAAGTGAATCAAATCGTGGGGCGCGGCGTATCTTGTATCATTTCTAACGCACTGCTTACTTAGCTCTACAGACTACACTTGTTGAACAAGTTGGTACGGGTTGTCTCCCAGTATGGCGCAGTATGCCAGGAAAGTAAGTTCAGTTCTTATAGCCAGGCCACAGCATTCCTTTCAACAAACCACCGCGTCTCTTGACGTGGCCGGTCGGTCCAAGTTGGTTTCCCTTGCTGAGCCCACTTCGAGCATCCACACCATGAATATCATGAGCTCTGGATTTTAACAGTCGTAGGACTTTGCCTTTCACTTTCCCAAGCACTGTTGCCTCTATGTTGTCCTTGACTGTTTGGTGCTCCAACATGGCACTCAGGAGGTAGGAGTTGCACTGCAAGGTCATTGCTCGAGGAACGTTGCTCCTGTGGGTGACATTGTCTGCCTGGATGTTGGCATGGGCCTTTTCAACAGCCACAGAACTCGCAGGCAAATTCATGACCACGTCTTTCAAGAAAAGGACCACAGCGTTGTAGGCATCCTCGACCTCTTCCGTCTCAGATCGGCGAAAGACCAAATCCAGAAGAACCTCGAAGGCCGACCATGGTGGTGGATATCAGAACCAGTGGGTTCAACTGTGCAAAATAAGGAGAACTGGGAGTCACAAAGAGTCACAGAGTCAGACATTACAGCCCAAGCCAAAACGCTACTACTACTACTGCTACTAGTGTTTGCTGCTTCTGCTCCGGCTACTGCTACCACTAGATCAGCAGTCCCGGCGCAAAGAAAGAGAAGAGGAGATGTCTGTGCCGAGATGCACAGAGTGACGAGAGTGCTTGGTGGAAAAAGGGCAAAGCAGCCCGAAAGATCAACTAGGTACCATAGGGATAAAATGCAGAAATCTAGTTTCATCAACCAACCAAACAGCAAAAAGCAGGCCAAGTAGAAGAACGCAAAGAGGACATGGGGAATCTCGGCTATGGAAGATTGGCGCCTTGACCTCTTTTTGCATCCGGCCTGGCTCTACTAATTGCTACTGTCAGGCAGCTACTACAAAAAGATCAAACATAATGGACTTGTGTCCAATGGTCAAACACAACTCTTGTAACGGGAGTGCCGCCAGGAGCAAGCGTAATCTCCACTCTCATTTCGTGCCTGAAGACGATGCGGATTGCGCGTCCATGCGGCAACACCGGCACGGGCCCCGGCGGTTGCGGTGGCCCTGGCGCTGCTGCTGGGAGAAGGTAAATGCTGGTTGCATCAGAGCGATCAGAGTCACCCTCAGTGCCCGCATCACTGGAAGGCAAACCCTGGATGGACGAGACATTTGTATTCCCATCGTCGCTGTCGTCATCGGAGCACTCATTGTTCTGCGCATCATCAGTAGGACCAGCAGCTGCATCAGCACCATTGTGGCTTGTGCCAGCATTCTCGTCGTCACAGTTTGACGCACTATCATCGCCACGTGGGCTGTCAACATCAGATTCAGAGGTTGGAACTTCGGGAAGCTCTTCATTAGCAGTGGAACGTCTGAATGAAGGGCGATCACTGCGATCACTGCCATCACCACGCTGTAGGGCCTCTTGAAGTGGGACACCGTCAAGAGCGCAATCATGATTCACCAAGCTCATTGTGTCGTCTGGGCACGTGCCATCATCACTGCAAAGTGTAAACTCCATCACAACGTCTGAGTCTGGGCTTGAAGGGGCAGCAGAATCTGACATCATGGCACAGGTGGAAAGTCCACTAAGTCAGAAGTCACAAGCTACTTGTGCGTATTCGAGCCCTGCGCAAGCGGACAAAAAACACGTCCGTCTTCCAAAGGCAATATATATATTCAGTTCTTCCTTGGACCGCTCCTGGAACATGGTGTTCAACAAATGGAACGTGTGTACAGATCAAAGTAGAGTAAATATCTCGTCAGTTCAACTCTGCTCACAAGGGCCAATGAACTACGCTAGGCTATGTTTGTACTCATGTTTTTGTGGTCGCACAGACACTGAACAACCTTTTCTTTGCAGTGTTTGGACGCAATGAGCAATCACCTTGGTAAGACTGTAAGACCCCATGCAATGACGGGCGAGAAACATGTTTTTGTTCTTTTTGTGTTTCTTTTTGTGTAAAGCTTGTACAGTTAAGAAGGTAGCACAGTGCTCGAGTGTCAATTTGCCTCCATTGGATCCTTGACTAGTGGAAGCTGGCCCGGTTTGAAGTTCCCTGAGCTTTCCAAAAGCCGAGAAACCTTCGAAAAAAATTGGTCTTGGCAATGTGAGCATGCGCCAGCACGCAGACCAAGAGAACGCATGTAGTCTAGCCCTTGATTGAATGGGATGTTGATTGCACGGAAGAGTGTCCAAGGCAATCCTGTGAATGGCAGCACAAGCCTTCGCCATGAGTCGCAAAGCCCAATGACAACAAGGGGAAAGCATTCGTCTTGAGATACATTGAACTCATCAGGCAACAGTTCTCCTCCCGGACATTGTAAGAAGTCCATGTACTCCTGGAGGACTGTGAGGCCAGCGTCGCCTGTCAAGAATGCCAAGTTTGCCTCCGAAAGTTGCTCGTCTGTCATAAAGCATTTGCTGGTCTCGGGCAATATTCCACGCAAACGCAGCTGGGACCTATGCCTCACTGTCTCCACCAGAGACAAGCGGTCCATGTAATCTGCAAGCGGTCGTGAAAGCACTGTAGACTTCACCAGTTTGGCCTTGGCTTTTGCAGTCTCAATGGAAACAGTATGCGGAGTGGGGAGTAGGTATTGGGAGTTGTGGGATTGCAATTGAGTGCAAATCTGGAAAAATGTCAGAGTTGCTACAACTGTGCCCAGGGACCAAGAAATCTGGCTCACTGATAAGCTTCATGACCTTGCCCATTCGGACTTTCTGCACCAGTGCAGGGTTAAGGTCAGCCGAATCCATATCAATCTCTGCTAGTTCCTGCCACCCATCAAGACCGTCGGGGTCGTCAAATTTGTCTGACAGGCAGCACTGCCACAGGTGCTGTAACAAAGAATGCAAGATTGCGTTCAAAAAGCAATACTCCATGCAGGGTTCCCAGTGCTTCCATCGGTATAATAGCGGTGGGCTGAAGAACTTTCCTGATAGGGTCATCAGGATTTGCTTGGCTTTGGCCTTCGTGTGCTCATCTCGCTCACAACAGCCTGGAGCACAGTAGTGTGACAAAGTGCTTGTGCGCCCCACAGGCAAGGACCAGTCACTGTTAAAGACTGCCAACAGCTCTTCTTTCATGTCATCGCTCATGGAGTGTGAGCAAAGGCTTAGCTTTCGTTCATTTCTGGCCATTTGATTTCTCACAGACACGGGAAGCTCAGCAACTGGAACTCTGACAACCTTCCGAACCACAGCTGCGATCGCTGCCTCCAGTCTTTGTGCAAAAAGTCCAGAGCGGGCTGCGTTCCCCATTCTGACCATACCTCAGGGATTTGCAAAACACCAAATGCCTGCAAACCAAATTTGAGGCAGTTGATATGAAGCCGCGCCTGTGGCAAGGCCAGAAAGCTTTAAAATCAAAGGCTTCTTGCACAGGCAAGCTTGATGATGTAGACAGAGGGAATATAGCAAAGTCAGCCCAGTGCGTCCCAGGTCCTCATCTACGAACTTCCGTTGTTCCAGCGCGGCAATGGCAATGTTCGTAGGTAATGAATCAGTGCCTTGAGCAGATTGGACGCAAGTACCAGTGGAGATAGAATCCGCCGACCCCACACCGTGGGGTGAGGCGTGACTGTCGATGTTAGCCTTAGGCCTTAGCCTTAGCCTTAGACCTAGTCCTTAGCCTTAGACCTAGACCTAGACCTTACCTCCCCTACCCCTCCGGACCCTTGTTGCAGTTACGAAATCGTGCCCTGAAAGCTACCTGAGCGACCCGGGAATTGTCCAAGATTCTGCCATCCCAATTGACTTACATCTTGGGGCACCCTCTCGACCCGCGCGGGAAAATAAGCACGGTCCAAAATGGTCCTGGGCTCGAATCCCGGGCTGGTCGCGGCATGGTCCCGGCCAATGCCCTTGCTTTTTCGTAGATTTTGTCACGTTTTCTGTTGGTTTATGAGATTTTCAAAGGCTTTTCTGGCATTTTCCTAGGAATGCTCTAGGCTTTGTCTTTTTGGGTACCTGCTTTGGTGGTGCTGGGTTGGGTCTAAATTGGTAAACCTGGGAGGTACCCAAAAAGTCGACTTTTTGGGTACCTGCTTTGGTGGTGAAGGGTTGGGTCTAAATTCTTGGGCAATGATCGGGGTTCATGCAAGAGCTGACGTCCGATGGTAAATCTGGGAGGTACCCAAAAAGTCGACTTTTTGGGTACCTGCTTTGGTCGTGCTGGGTTGGGTCTGCACTCTTAAGGCTAAGGCTAAGGCTTAAGGCTAAGGCTAACATAGAGCAAGGCTAGCGCTAAGGTTCTATCCCTTGGGGGTCGGCGGCTGCAGGCGGTAGCCTGGTAAATAACAGTAGGGTCTAAAGCGCATGGCTTCAATAAAGCCCAACTTAACAACATGGTAACTTGTGCCAACCTGACCAGCCAAATGCCACTTCTGTATTCTTAGGGTTGAATTCAGATGAACGAGAAACCAGGCCTCTATGGACCTAAAATGCATTAAAACCACGCACGGTACAAAAACAACAATTAACATTGCCAAGTAACAACTAATGATGCACTTCAGGGGCACCTTCTCTTTGAAGAAAGATTGCAGCTTTTGGCCACCAAAGAAGTCGCTGGATCCATCGACACTGTACACCGACCAGCGCTGAATACGGTCGTACAAAGTCATGGTGTTGGCCTGCATTATCACAAATTCACAAACGCGGCGCACAAAAGGAACAAATGTCCGTTCGGCAAATGACTAAAAATTGAACCGTCAACTTGCTACAACGACTTGCAAACTGACTTGCCTTAGGTAGTATTTGTGATGGTGTGTGCAGTTGCACCGTCTCGGCTTCAATCTGCTTGTCACGACGTACTACCAGCTTCTGAATAATGCCAAGCAGGGGCGCAACCTTCATCTTGCCCTTCTTGCTCGTTTGTTCAGTGAACTCTGGCAACTCCTCGTCGTCCACACCATTTGCTTGCTGTGACAGCTGTACACAAACATTTGTATCATCCATGGTTCGGCACATCACCACGTGCAAAGGTGAAGAACGCAAGAGCCATTCATGAAGTTTCTCCCTTTGGGCGCTGATGTGGCAAGCGATTGCAAATTGCTTCGCACGCTGGATTGTTTTGCGTCCGTCACACTTGGCAGCATACATGTCCAGAGACCCCTCAGAGTTCTCAAAGGCGCTGTAGACTTCCCTTGGCTTCTCAAGGGTTCCAATTTCACGCCAGTGGCAGGGGGACCAAACATTTGAAAGGAGAATTGCTCGGCAAAAAGTACCAAAAGCTCTAAGACCGACTGGAACAGTCAAGCTACGTCTCCCGGGCGCTTGCTGTGTTCCTTCCTCGCGCCACAGAACTGAAAGCTACCTTGACCAAGTTCTGGGCTGGATCTGCTGCCAACAAAGCCAGTTTGCTTGCTTGCTCCACTTGACGAGCTGCCAAAGCCGTCTTGATCAAAGCGCTGTGGCTTGGCCCACAGGAATAGTTCTTTCTGGGACGGTCTGCTTGCTCCTTGAATGAACATGCTTGAACGCGTGACTTTAGTTGAAACCACAGCTGTGATAACAAAGACATCAAGAGCAATTTATATGTAGCTTGATGTGTTTTGTGGTTCATACGAGACTGCATGAATCTCTCCTCCTCCCCCAAAGTGTGCTGTGCTTGCAAGTTCCCACACGCATACAATGCCCTCATCGCACGCGAATGAGAGAGTGACCTGGTGACCTCGCCTACTCACAATGTGGCAAATTTGGGCAACTGCCAAATTTGTGGAATTCAGGCATCCATGTAGTGAAAAGCACCTACAAGTCTGCTATGGCCTCCTTCAGTCTTGCACAGCCGTAAACAGCTGCAAAGCCACAGCCATAGTATTCATCTTGAGAGTTGACTGCACAAGGAATTCAACCCCCCACAATCCCCAAAAAACGATTTCAGATTCTGAGAAGGACAGAAAGCTTTGGCCTGAAACTCATCTGTTGACGATGTTTTGGAACTCCTTTTCGCCAAACCAAATACATTTTCAAGAATAGCCACCCTTAGCTGAACTTGTGATGGGAAAAGCGCGTCCAAGCGTGCGCACAGGCAGAGCAAGCTAATGGCATCAGCATTTGACAGGTTATAAATTTAGTGATCACCATGGCTCTTTGGAGCATATTTCCGGATGAACCTCGATGTCTCCAGAAATGGTTTGGCTTTTCTCGCCTCAGCTGTCTCGCCCAAGCCAAGACAGTGGCTCATGACCACACTCGCATATTTGTATGGTCCATATTCAAAATGTCTAATCGCAACGTTGCACTCACCACAATTCCATGCCTTGAAGCCTCCTTCAACCGAAAACCACACTCAAACCACAGGCATGTCAACTGTGAAAGGTGTGTGGGTGAGATGTGTCTAGCGCAGATCCTTCCAGGGACATGTTCGCCAAGTAGATGAGTCGTGTACTACTACGCACAGATTATGAAGTGCACCGTCGTTTACCGTGCAGCTAGAGCGCAGCTAGTGCAAAAAGTCGCTGGTAATCGAGTGAGTGAGTGAGAGTGAGTGGGTGTAAGTTCCCCAAAGTGGCAGTGAAGTACACTGGACCTGATCAAGTAAGACCCTCTCTCTTGTGTCAGTGTGCGAGCGGTGGCGAGCACACTTTTCTATGGCACGGAGCGCAGGCGTTGGGCTTCAAAGTCTTGAGCCAAATGAATTAAGCGGCAGCTGACTGAACAGAAGGTATGCACAAGTAACTACGGACAATAGGCGCTACACACGTATAGCGTAGACACGCCTGGGGGACACTAGGACCCTAATGGAGCTGTCGTGGCTTCAGCCCACCCCCGTGAGATTGCACAGCATGTCCTCTTCGCTCTGTTCTTTCACTTTGTTCTGTTCACTGAAACACTGAAACATTTTTGGAGGAGCAGCTAGTATTCATAAATATGGGAGGTGGGAGAAGATATAGAAAACTAAGCAAGGATCAAAATGGCGGAGAGCTGCTCATTATTGATATGTATGGGAGGTGGACGGAGATATAGCAAACTAAGCTCAGAAAACACTAAACTTTTTGAAACAATGTTTCTACCCAGGGAGGGAGGATATCAATCGTAGATACCCCAAAGCGCCAACCTAGCGCCAACCCAGTGCTGCCTTGCGGAACCAATGGAGTCTGCCTCTAAACGAAGACTTAAAATCACATCTCCAACCTATTGTATTTTGTCAATTATCTATGTACGTGTGTCCTCGTTATGCCGTCGACCCTCTTGTTACTGGCATGACACAAACTGCACACAAGCCTGAAACAAAGACTATTCATTTAGTGGCCATGCTTCGGTCTCTATGTTGGCGGATATAAATAGCTCGCGCACGTCACTGTGTTGGAAGCGGACATTGTTTTCCTGTGAAAAGTTCTTACATACAAAGCCTGAAATATAGATATCCAGGCGTGCTTGCCCTTCTCCCTCCTTGCAAGAAAAGTAAGTTTGCAAATGCGGTGTTTCCAAGGTGGAATTAAGAGCAAAGATCTGTAGCAAGTCCTTGTCACTTGGTAGTGGCATGGGTGGACAGTGCTGATGATGCACTTGACACTGCCCACCAGTCCTGGTTTCAAGTTTCGTATCATTTTGCGCCGAAAAGCTTGCGACACGTCCAACATCGATATTTAACATTGATACACTGATGCAGTTTGCCCAGCCACCGGGCAAAAGTCAGGTCATGGTATAGATGGTGCATGTTCCGATTCTCCAACAGCCACTTGCGTGTAGTTGCCTCAACTAGCAATGCGAGTCAGCAATGTTTTGCAGCCCAACATGTCAAAATAAGAGTTCCATGCCCCCGCTGTAGAGGCATACATGTTGTTGTGTGTCCTTAATTGTTCTTCATAGAAAAGGAATCAAGGCGCGTGTGACTCGCTTGCAATCACTTCACTGAAGTTGTGAGCTCCTACAATTTGGTCCAGCGCAAAGCTGGGTGCAGCTGAGCCAGTGCAAGCGGTTCCAACCACCTTGGCACGACACAATGCTTCTTTGCGTTTTCCCACGTGCAACACCACACATGCAGTACATTCTTGCTTCGGCCATTTGTCAGGTTGTGTCCCTGAATTGAAACAAGTAGCCAGGGGTTGGGAAAGTGCGTGGGCATATTGCTCTGCTGGCATTCCACAAGCATTGAAAAACACAGGGGCCCAATTCACAAAAGGCCACAGATTTGTGTCGTCAGGTTCCTGCGTCCCATCTGAACTGTTCCCGCGTGATCTTGATCGTTCGGAACTCCTTAGCTTGCTTAGGCATATAATGTCTAGATCCTTTACATACGGCGAACTATATTCACCAATGTTAGAAGTTGCGACTAAAGGTCCTCGATTCGCATTCGCCAAATTGTTGATACAAGTTCCTCAAATTTCCGCGGTCAGGTCCCAGATCAGAAGGCTGACAGCTACCGCGATAGAGGTCAGCCAATGGCATGGCCCGTCTGGCAAATTGCTATCAATATCCAGAAAATGTTTTTCACAGACTCTGTTCACCAGCATTTTGCAATCAATCCCTCTGGATCAATGTACTTTTGCAATGTCCATTGCCACTAGCTGTTGCAATTCTTCGCTAGTCTTTTCATGAGCCAAACGCGGTGGGCAAAATGCTCACCGGCACATGGAAGCATCCTAAAACACACACAACAACGCACCAATCTCCGCACCTATACCAGCACCTGTACCAGGTACCATGTTTCTAGCCGAAATGAACAATTTTCAAATTTCACATGTTAAGAGTTATATGTCTCAATCAATATATAAATAAACAAAATAATATACTGTACACCAGGAGTTCCAAAGGAGTGTTTTTCAGACCGAGACTGTGAGTGGATGATGGCACCCCGGAATCCTCCATGAAGCACCCCGACAGGAAGCGACAGGAACCGAGGTTCAATTGTTTTCATAGCCACAAACGGATTTTCTCCCTGCATGTTTCACAACGCACTCAAAAAAAACAATCCTGAGACCCAGAAAGCCAAAGTGTACGAAAAAAATAAAAGGAATCGAAACTATCCAAGATCTTCTGAGATCTTTACGACGATGCGACTAGAATCCAGCAGTGCTCTGTTTTGTGGGTTGTTTCTGTAGCTAAATCATAACCAAAAAAATGTGTTCGAAGTGACTATAGAATCCCAAGTGGTTTAGCGCAAAAGTCACAACACCAGATCCCTATTGTTGGCTTTACCTAGGTGATCCCTGCAAATTCAAGTGGTGAAACTTACGATGCTCTCAGCACCTTTCAACGATTCTCTGAATGCCTTTCGGTCTCTCAGCGCATCCGAGGAGGGACTAAAGTCACGAGTTTCTTCTCGCCAGGGTGATCACGTGGGTAGACTGCCAGAAACGACTTGTTATCCAGTACCTTTGTTTGATCAATAAATCCAGAAGCAAAAGCTGATCCAGAACTTCCAAATAATGGGAATGCTGATCTCTTGATCAATGTGTTTTTGCCTCTCCCAAGTGCCACGTACATACATGAGTGCTTCCCTGATATGCTTGGTTTTCTATTTCTTCAATCAACCAGCATCCCGAAAAAAAAACAAAAACAAAAACATACATCAATATCTGTTCATCTTCAGAATGGATCTTCAGAAAAATGTCCTCACCTTCTGAACATCGGGGTCTTATGCCAGAAGGCCAGAAGGCCCAACTGCATTGCCCCCACGACCTGAAGGCCCACTGCCCAGCGTCACAAGGGCAGCCGGTAGATCGGTTGGCGCAAAACTCCGTCATAGGAGCACTCCAGTTGCGTTCTCCTCACCACAAGAACCAAGAACAACCAGAAACACACGTTGTTCAGTATATATATATATATCTACATAAAAAAAATATATATAGTTATACTTTTTACTATACATATTATGGCGAGCAATGGCGAGCAACAAACAAACAACACACACTCAGAATATGCACACATCAAGCCCTACTAGCAGCCCCCTGCTCTCCTGAAGCACACTCCATTTTCCACTGCATGAATCAACACAGGGCAGCAGCCAGGCAGCACCAGCCTGACTGCTGCCAGGTCCATCCCAGGCACTTGGGCCATACGTACACACCAACAAGTAGGGGTAGGTGGGTGGGAGAATTCCAAAGCACCACAGCCTTCATTTTCCATCCAACCCAGGCACTGATGCTGCTCACACAAGCATAAGATCACAAACCTCGATACTTACCTTCAAAGCATAAAAGGAAAGGTGCAGGGGTGTAGCATTCGGGTTTGGGTGTACACCGGCCGTATCCTGTCCCACCCCAGTGTACACTCCCGTGGTCTTTTGGATCCGATGAGTGCATACTCATCGGATAAGTGGTGTTCGACGACCGTGGATCCAGAAACGACACCGCTCTTCCCCATCTCGACCTCTCTATGTCAGGGCAAAATACGTTCACCCAACGCGCTCACAAGTGTCTTTCGCCGGTGCGCTCCCCATTCTTTGACCTTGTTGCAATCAAGCACCAGAATGGTCATCAAACATCAATCAGTGTCTTGTCCACTAATCATCCGTACCCAAGACCTGAATATTCATGTGTTGAACCTCGGTGTTGAAAATTCAGAATGGTATGGTTGGTCAGATGTGTCAAGATATACCGCTTCAAGAAAACGCTTGAAGATCTTCACAGAGAGCTACAAGTACCATAGCGATAGCCTCCAACCTAAGAGCGATGGCCTCCAATTTAAGAGCGATGGCCCAAACGGAATGTCGAGTGGCCCAGAATTTGGTGTTCGAACCCAGCCAGTGAGTTGTTTTGGTGTACATGCCCTGGTGGCACAGCAAACATAGCAAACATCCAACGGTTTCTCAAACCAAAACATCTGCATGCAGCTTTTGTTCACACAATGGCAAGCATCAAGTATACGAATCGTTGCAGTTCACCAACACAAGCATGTCACATGTCTGATCCCCAAAAAACCGTCTCCTGTGATCGCATCATACTGGTAGGAGAAGCAGTAGTCTTCATCCATGCTGCAGGTGACTGGGCACTCGCCCCAGCTCTTGTCCCAACAGTAGGCCTCACGGACCCCGTCGCAGTTTGGGGGGTGGAACAGTCGGGTGAGTCAGGGGATGGGGGGTTCTCAATGAGTAGATAAACCACTAGGTCAGGAAATGAACCGCCTGCTTGCCTTGATTTCGTGAACATTTGGCTGCTTAGGGGGTCTTAGGTCTACCTGACTGCAAGAGCTTTACTCCAATAATCAGTGTCATGTCCACTAACATCAAACATCAAGCAAATAGATAGTCACTTAGGTAGTCTTCTGGAAGGAAAACAAGCAACTTCTTGGCCAGACTTGGACTCTTCTGACTCGCCCCCCGAGCAAATTTGTGGCATCTCGTGCGCTACCATGGTTTGGGAAATCCAGGTCTTGACCCATAGCTCCTTGGGGGGAAGCTGTCGACCTTGCTCGAGAGCACTGGAAAAAGTGGAGTAGTATGGAAAATTTGTGCTCAACAAGATGAAACATCAAAGCGCTTGATTCACTGCTGCTACCGTGGCAAGGCTGAGGTTTGGCAAGAAAACAAGTTGTGGGAATGTAGGAAGAACACTTTCTAGAAGCAGCGGAATTGTCCATTTGCATGTTGGTTCTTGGGAGCCTATCCAGATGTTGTCTCAAGGTCAATCCATAAACCTTAAGTCCCATCTTAACGAAAACAGGACCTCCCACAAAGTCCCATCCAAAAGGAGTGTCCGAAGCCATGAAGAAGTGTAAGTATGGTCTCCAAATGATGACCGTGGCACGGTTTCCAATACTTGTTGAAAAGGGATTTGGCTTGTCCAATACATTTTGACCATCCATGGGACTGGAAAAGAACAGCCTACTTTGCCTGGCACCACTCCAACTGAGCAAATCTGTCAGTCCAGATGGTCTGGGATACACAGACGGGTCGTGAGGACGGGTCGTGACGACATGGCAAAGCGGCGGAGTAGTCGTCCTGGCACTTAGTCTCCTCAGCTGCAAGGAGCGGTTTGGACAAAAATGAAACACGCCCACCACCCGCCGCATCGAGTTGTTGTTTATGATTTGTTTTAAGTATTGTTTGTTTAAAGGGGCTCACGGCCAGTGGAAAACATGGGTGCGGAAGTCCATCCAACCAGTGAGAACGAAAGGGCACAAAACCGGACACATCTCACCGACCCGCGAGCGCAACGCAACCACGAGCGCAACGCCAAGCAAACCAACTCTAAGCAATCCAACTAGCTCAACAAACTTACCGCAAACCGACCAATCAGCCACCCAAACAAACCAGCCAAGTGGAGGGATGTGGCGAGCCACACACTAAGTAAGCAAGCAACAAAGCGGCTAGACATGAATCCCCTCTGATCTTGGGTACGTAGGTTGGCCTCATGACCGGCCCTGCGATGCCCTGCTGGTACCTTGGAACCACTTCTCCTACAGTTTCCGAAATGGACGTGGCTCTTTGTCTGGACCTTTAGGAACCCTATGTGTTGGTTTGGGCCCAGATTCCTAGGGCGCCAAACATGAACTACCACGTCCCATGGTCGCATGGTCTACCAGGGTGAGTGCAGTCCATATGACCGCCCACGTAGGTCCATTGGAGAAAATCACACACTTCACCTGGCCATCACCATTGGACCGTTGAAGACCCGAGACCATGCGACTGTTGGGAACTTCGATTCGTTTCAGACGTGCCATCCCTGGAAGAATGATGGAAGTGGAGTTCACCACTTCTTGGGGTATCAATGTGTTTATGGTCATCGAAAACTCGGGGTCATTTGCCCATTCCATATTTTCCCATCCCATCCACTTTAAATTCCATGGTTTGTTGGGAGTTTACGTGTGTCTACCCATGGATTGGGAGTGTGTCCACACGGAGATCAGCGATCTTGAGATCCCGGGCGTGAACATGGATGTGAAGATCTCCCCGTGGATTTGGTACGAACATGCCAAGCGCACCTTTTCACTCTAGAACTGTTCATATGGTTTGTGCTCTCCCTTGTTGAGACAATTGGGACACCAAAAAGGAAAGACTTAATGGATGTTG